TATATATATATATATATATATATATATATATATATATATAAGTAGTATTTGTGATGCAATTAATGTCTCGAGTAAAATGAAGAAATCAACCAGTAAATGTGCTTCAAATGCCTATAATGCCTTTATTTCGGATGTTATTTGCAGTGAAACTACTTCTAAGACGGTAAGAAAATAGGTACACGTACGCATGTGAACGCAGATTCGTTAGCTAGTACAGAAATAAAAACAATAATCAATTTATTGCGAATGTTATAATATTAATAATATAGCGATGTCATTAGCGAATTATATTCACCGACGTTTCGGTTACCGTGGGTAACCTTTCTTGATTGTAAACCTGCCTTGAGAAAGATTACCCACGGTGACCGAAACGTCGGCGAATATAATTCTCTACCGAAATCGCTGTGTTATTGGTATTACAACATTCACAATAAACACAACACAGCGCATCGATGTTTCCATACACTCCTAACATCATTTGGTCCTGATGTATTAAAAATAATCAATAAATTGATTTCATTTCTTAAATTGTTATCTTCCTTTTGGATACGATGAACATTTAACTAAAATTTGATGTAATCTGTCGATTTCTGTGCTCAATGTGCACATAAGCGAAGTCAAGCGAATCTCTATGTAGTCTGCGATTGAAAATTACGGAGAAATCTAACCGTATTTTCAAATGATTTGGCTATTTCAGTTAACAAGATTTTTCAACTTGCATCACAAAATGCTCATCCATGAACAGGTTACATGAATCGCCCCTTTGCCCCAGAATCTAACACTCAAACCACCTCCCATTAAGCCATTTGAACGGAGGTGATTGAAGTTTTATCTTTATAACTGTAGTAATACGAGATGAAAGATTATGGTGTTTTGGTTATTCCAACCAATATCCTTTTACAAAAATGCGATCTATTTGACAGCTCTAGTAAAATTTACAACACAAAACATTCCGAGGTTGTGAAATGTAGAAAAATACAAGACAAAATCCATACTCCTAACAAATATTACGGTGCTGCTTACTCAACCTGCTC